TCTTATGTCTTTTGAACATTTACATAGTATTAATTGACTCTCAAGAAAGAAGAACTTGAAAGAAAAATAGAGAAAAAAAAAAGAAAAATAAAAATAAGTAAGGACAGCTCAAGCTTGCTAAACTTAGCAGAGACCAACAGGAGGTTTTTTTTTTCAGCTAAACTTAGCACAAGTTCTGAATTTTAAATTTGGCATTCGTATACTGAGGTGTTGGGTGTGTCAGAAATGAGAGAGGCATAAAGACCTTCCTGGAAATGATGCATAGGAGAACTCAGACTTCATCTTATGTTTGGATCTATTAGTCCCTATTAGTTGTGCTATTCACAAATGGTCTTATTAAAAAAAAAAAAAAAAAAAAAAAAAAAGGTTAAGTAAACTGCAGATAACTTACTGTATCTAGTAACCTTTAAAAATAAGAATATTGTTAAACTCCATTTATTGAAAACAAATGCACTACCTTACCTACTACCTGCCTTCAAAAGTGAACTTTATAAAAACAAAAGGTACACAAAAAGATTGCAGACGTGAAAGCAAATACTAGTCCTGTTGCTAATATCTGATTGCTTGCTACCCTTGTTTTACACTCACTTTATGAAAAGGTTGAAACTGCTTGAATGCTGGAACTGATGAACCTATACATAAATGATTAGGAATGCTCTGCTAATAATTTCCAGTAGAACTCATCATTGAGTTTCCTTATGAGCACATCTCTCTCCATTTTTAATGCTACTTAGACTTGTAAAACCCTTTTATTGAACAATCCACTTATTCTTGAAAATAAATTGTCCAAGTCAATTCTGTTAATATTGCCACAGACTGGGTTTTTCATTGTGGATCCTATCAACCTCTGCAGTGATTGCCTGTTGTCTTGGCAGAAGGATGCAATTTGACCATTACTGTCTGCCAGTGACAATTTTTCCCTTAATTTAGGAATTCCTACTTCGTTCGAAGGCCAGCTGGAAGCAACTAAGGCATTACAGCACCTTCTTCAGCTGTTGGCCATGGGAATATGTATTCTCTCCAGAATATATATCTTTGGCAGGGAACAGAAGGAAGGAATCTTGGGTAACTGGTGTGCATGCCAAGTGTAAGGATTGTTATATTTAACGCCTAGATTTCTGTCCTTGAAATTATGTCTAAAAGAAGTTCAAAAGTAGGACAAAATTCAAATAGGGTGGGTAGATTTTATTTGAGAGAAAAAAATAATAATAATATAAAAGTCTGTTAACTATATTTATCCAGGATTTTCTTGTAATCTTTAACAGGAATATTTTACATGTCTTGCTGCTTGAACGGTTTTACAGTACCTTTAGGAATGTGTCCAAAATGCACAGATTAACAGCCACATAAAAAACCTCCGGCTGCATATTAGAACATTTAGTCTAAACCTACAAGCACAGTTGTCCTACGGGAATTTTGCTAATCAGTTACATGGCCTTAAAATGTAGGTCATCTGAACAGTGAAAATTAAACTGTAATTAACCACCACAAAAATAAAGTGTAGCATGTGCAAGTGTGACATTTGGGAGATGTGGAGAGAAGAGCTCAAGAAAAACATTCTCCATTCCCTAGTCACAAAACTTGTGGGTTGAAACTAATCGAAGATCTCCTGGATCCGTAGCAAGTTGCTACAGATTTGTTTGGAGTGGCCATTTTCTGCAAATTTTATGTACATAAGCTTTACACTATATATATATATATATATATATTTAAAATTGTGGAAAATATAATCAGTTTTGTCAGATGGACTGCTTTATGATTGAATTCATAGCATAGTATGTGAAGGTGAAAGTACTGTTGTAAATTGAAAATCTTGTTACAGTTTTAAACTTGGAAACTGCACAAGTATACAGAAGCTGTGTAGCTTTGACTACATACTAGCAGTGCTACCTAAAATGTGATGCCTGCATATCCACTGAACAGTATTTCACTCTGGGCAAACATTTTCAGTGAGAAAAATCCAAAAGTGAGGCAAAGTTAAGAGGCATTAGTGTACAGAGCTAGATGTAAAGATGTTCATGCAGTAAAGTGAGTATTATAATGAGGATCAGAGTTGTTGCTCTGTGTTGCATCCAGCTGGTTTGCAGAAATTGAGGTGTATTCTGGAGAAGATGGAACAAGTCTATATCTTTTCAGAGCCATAAAGAAAAAATGTTGTGAATGCCTTTTATCCTCCAATAGTCATTTGCTGCTCTCAGTTATCCCAGCAGCTGGATGGTATGTATGTAGTACAAATTCATTTACATGTCAGGATACTTCATGGAGACACGCAATCTCTCGTGGGTGTCACTAGCAAATGCCATACCTGAAGTGTGTTTTCCCTACTTTTATGCAAATAAGATGTTATGTCTGAAATTTTTCATTTTATTTCCATTTGCTTTTAAATTGACTAGAAATATTTATTTATTTTTTTCTGTTTGTATGTGTCCCATGTGTAAATGTTTTTATTAGATATTAAATTTCACATTACTTTGAACATGAGATAATATAGCTATGGTAAAGTGATTTTCTTCTCATTTTTTTCTGGCTTCCAATTAATAGAATTGTTAATTCTGAAGTCAGACAGCACTGCTTCTTCTGATATGTGAACAGGGTAGCCTAAACTAATGGGACTGAATTTGAATGTTTTGGATTGCAGCCGTTTCTCTTCACAGTTCTCACTGAACATCTTTCAAAATTTAATAAAAGCTCTCAGTTTTATAAAATATGAATAAATACAAAATTAGACACTTCTGTGAAGAGAAAAGTAGATAAAAGAGGAGGGAAGGTGAAGGGAAATGTCTTATTTCTTGCTTTGCCACATACTTCCCATATGAACTGAAATGTATCATTTTAGTATCGTTCATCATTGTTTTCCTCCTCTAAATGATGGATGATAGCGTGTAGATCATGCAACACAAAATGAATTGTTTGGAAGCTGTATACATTTTTTAATTAACAACAACAACAAACAAACACCACCACCAACAACAAAACACAGTGTAATGCTTCATAGAGCTCTTTGAAATATCCCAGAAAAGTTAGCAGCAGCTCAGTCATTAAAGGGAAGTTAATTTGCCAATTAAGATTTTAATGCCAAAATCTTGCCAATTTCTGTGTAGATATTAAGGGCTTACACAATGGTTACCTGAGAAAGAACTGTCTACTCGTTGAGTATTGTCTCAGATGCATTGCAATCAGCAGAATCTTTCAGGTTGGTGCTCATTTGATATAAATAAGATGTGGCTGCAGCCAGAGTGCTCTCCACAAGGAAATCTCCCAGCTTGCCCCTCATCTGGAAAGTCTGTACACAAGCACAGGTCCTTCTATGGAGATACTGCACTTTGGTAGCTTCCTGGCCTCACTCCTGGCCTCTATCCATGGCTGTATGCAGGGTGACCAGAATGTTTTGGGAAGAAATGCAATTTGAGAAATATATACCAATCACATAACATCTTTAAGGCATTTCTGACCATATTCCTGATCTTCAAGGAACAAAAACAAATTTACATCCTCCCCACATGCTACCTATCTGAAGTATGGAGAGAGGAATCCATGAAGTGGATAGAATTTTGGCAAGATGAAAAATCAGTGTTCTGGCTGCTGCTGACAATTAAATTTGGGGTATCTGTATGTGTAATTATGCATGTTTGTCATGTGTATAATGTTGGCCATTATGGGAAGTCACAGTATTTTTAGCTGCACTGGAAAAAGGTAGAGAATTCAGGAAAAGGAATTATGTTAAGAGTCTTTTTCTCATGCAGTGTAAAACCAGAATACTAAATTCAAAGTTGATGAGAGACTTCTGCATGTGGAAGACTTCAATACTAGCTGGATTTTGTTCTGTAATCAGCATATTGATTCATTTGTTAAGTGATGGTTTGTATTGAATATATAATAGTGTTTTCCTAACTGAATGTCTTTGCAAGCCTTGAACTGTGCAGATTGTATCTGATTAACTTTGCAAATAATTACAGAAACTTTATTGACTTAGTGGAGCTACTCCTGATGTACATCACTGAGAAGCAAAATCAAGTCCACTTACTGCATCTACAGAATGCTATTTCATGTGGCTACAAGCTGAAATGTGCTTTCGATGTTATTAGTCACAGAATCACAGAATCACAGAATTTCTAGGTTGGAAGAGACCTCAAGATCATCCTTTCTGAAAACACTCTTTAAATATGTATCTTAGTCTTTTGTACCTCTTTTGGTATGAAACATGAATCTAACTCCCCTGGAGCCCCGTTTCCCATTTGGAATGTGTAAATCTTTTCTCCTAGTAACAGTGCTTAAAATGTCACCCAAAAGCACATAAATGACAAAAGGAAAGGGTATAAAACACTTCAGTGCTTCCTACATTCAAATTTTTTTCTTTCTTTGAAGGCTTGATAAAGTCTACATCTCCATCTTGAGAGAGGCTGGTTGGGAAACCTTTGTTGTTATAGGTTGCTGTTCCTCTCCTTGTCTTTGTACTTCATTTCAGTATTTTTTCCTGCTGCATCATGAAGCATCCCAAGGAAATGTTTTGTAAATATTTACAAAATTGAGATTTTTTTTAGAAAAAAAAATATTATCAGGATTATGTGGGTGTAGTGGTATAAATTTTCGGCTACTGCTTATGCCATTCATTGCAAGAGGTTGATGAATACTTGAAGATGTTCTGTATTATAAATTTCTCCAAAACTGAATGAAATGTGTCGATGTGTGAGTGAAAACCACTAGCACATAAGAGCAAATTGCAACATAATTTTATTTTCAATGAATTTTTAATTAAAGCAACGGAACATATGTCACTTCAAGCCCCATTAAATTTTGTGCATAAAAAGTCAGTGAAGGGGAAAAGGTGTAATTTGTTTGCTCAGAACAGGTTTTTTATGCATTTGTAAAACATTGCCCAAGTTTGCATTCTAATTTGTTATGTTACTGTGATAAAAGTAGAATATTATGACTTAGCCATTTTCTCACTTCACTCCTTGTGGCAATAAGATGGGAAGGCTGATTGAAGGCCAAGCAGCCAGTCACGGATTGCATGGGTTTTATTTGTCAGACACACATGAAAACATGGAGACAGAAAGCAAAGGCAGGAGAAGGAGGCAAACACTCAAAACTTCTCAGTGGAAAGGACAATCTGCACTGACAGAAGGAGTAATGGCTTATTTCAAAATGCTTCTCTGCGTCAGCATTGTTGTTTGTTCCATCACTCTCACTTCCATTATAAAAGTAAATTAGAAGACAAACACAGGAGAATGGCCCTTGCTCCTTTCATGCATTTCAGTTTCATCACTGGCTCTGCAAAGTGGACCTTGACAGCCACAGCGTGCTGGAAACATGGAAACACTACTTCAGTGGTGTTTCGTTTTGGCCTGTTGTTTTATATAGGAGTTGACTTTCATATAGGTTACTGAATAGAAGGCAGAAATCTCAGATTGCTGGTAACTGAGGTAACAGCCATTGACTTCAGCTGGACTAGCATTTCACCTCATGTTTTGCAGGCAAAAATACCTTTCCAGTGAATGTCTGTCTTCTGTGTGTTTCAGTGCTCCGTTACCTGTGGCAAAGGAATGCAGTCCCGAGTCATCCAGTGTATGCACAAGATCACAGGAAGGCATGGCAATGAATGTTTTTCCTCCGAAAAGCCTGCAGCCTACAGACCCTGTCATCTCCATCCCTGCAATGAGAAAATTAATGTTAACACAATAACATCACCCAGGTTAGGTAAGCAGCCAAAATGACATATTCTTATTTGAAATTTTTGTTTAGTTCTTTCTCTGTAGAGCAATGATGATGCCAACTTAAAAGCATATGGCTGGGACCTGGGAGAACAAAAATTCTATTGAGAGACTTCTCTCTGTGCCTCAGTTTTCCAGCATGTACATGAGAAACTGTACCTCACGATGGTAAAGAGTTTTGTTAGCCAAGGAAGGACCATATTATGAGACTGCATATTATGGGCACAAAACATTCTAGATGAAAATATGTTTATATTAGAGCTAAGAATTTATTTCTTTATCCACTCAATTTTGTCAAGTACTTCTAAAGTAAAAAAGTCTCCGATTTTCTCTTAAAAACTCTTCAAACTAAGTTCTTATGATATTTTTGAGATTAAAGAGACGCTGGTTTCTCAATACAAATATTTCTTTCCTCTTGTCATTGGTTCAGATGTCTATAATCTAAGCCTGATGCATTAGGATATATGAAAGAAAATTGCTAACATGAAGAGATTTGCCATTCCTGGAAGAACTCATGTCTCTATTGATCTTAAGATTTATTTATTTATTTTTAATGCATACCTACTGAACTGTTAATTCTGTTAACTGTCATTTCCTGCTGGGGTGTTGATGATGACCTTGCCACTAACTCTGTAAAATGTACATGTACATACTTCCTGATCATGACTAGGGCACTGTTGAAGGGCTTGCTGTAGGACACTATACCCTTTCCAGATGATTTTCATAGCCCTTGTTAAGATAAACCCTACTGTCAAATGGATTACTCCTGCATGGAAAGCAAGTCTAACATTTCAGGCTGTGTGTAATCCTTCCTTTGAGTCAGCAAAGAGTATTTCTCTTTGAAGTTGTTAACCCTCAAACATTTCTGTGTAGTGGTCATTGTTTCATTTTGTTGGATGAGATGACAGATGTTGCTTACAGAGCTCGCCTCTACTATTTCACTGTTGTAAAGCTGCCCCTCATACTTTATCCTTCTTTGTTCAACTGATCTCACAGAAGCAAGAGGCTTCTTTGCATAATTGGCACTCTCCACCTGGTGAGGTATAAGAAGCTTTGTGTCACAGAGTAAAATGAACCACAATGTTTTACAGAGAAAAAAAATATATTTACATTGGTTAAAATCTGATTTAATGTAAAATTCACAAAACAAAAGAAGACAAAACAAAGAGCTATGTTGTCCTTGTAGAATGGATTATATGAGTTATTAGTAATCCACAGGTCAACCTCATGCTACTGTAGTCAGAATCCAGTCCAGTGGAAACACTGACATCTCAAAATTCATAAGACTATGCTTCACTTAAATATATTAAATATTTTGGCCTCCAGTTCCTTTCGTATCATGTTGTATCAGGTACCTCTGGGTTTGGGGTTTAGCTCTGGTGGAAAGTGATATGGATTTCATCATCTGTCTCTATTCAATTTAAAATATGCTCTCAGTTTCAGTTTTGCTTCTATTAAAATGATTGACTTCTTTCAGTTCAAAGTTTTTGATTATTTTTGGGTGGTGTGTGTTTTTTCTGCCCTATATTTACCTGTTTTCCCATACTAATTGCATGTATGCACTAGTTTGAATAACTCAGTTATTCAAAATTGTTCTATTATAAGCAGTGTAAGAGGCCTTGGTAAGTGAAACAGGTGTATGAAGTAAAAGATGGCTTCAAAAGAAAAATGAGAATAGACATGAAAATATGCATATTTTGTACAACCAAAAATTAGGCTTCTGCATATGGATGTTTTGCTAGAGAGAACCGTATAGTTATAACACTAGCAGAATAACCCAGAGAGTGGTTTTTCAGGCTTGTATGATGTTCTTATCATTTTAGAAGGCTTCTAATGAAGAAGTTGGTATTTAAAGATTCAGACAGAAAGCAGTAATAGAATACCAATAGCAACGTGAATAAATGGGTGAGGATAAGCTATGAAAGGTGTGGAAGTAAGGATTAATATAGTCTGACTTCAACGTGGAGAAGGGAAGACACACTGAGTCATTAAAAAGACAGTTATGCAGTCAGACAAATGTATTGGAAGGAAATTAAAAAACAACAACAACAAAACATTTTGAATATATGGAGAGCTGAGAAAAAGTTCAGAAAGGTAGGAAGTGTGCAAAATGAAATAATTGGGCCTGGACAGGTATATTTTCCAGTAAATAAAGTCTCAGTGATTACATGCTATCAATTTAATTTTTCTAGATAAAATTTATTTGCATTATTAAGTGTAGCATGGAACTTGCTAACTGTCTTCAACCCTCCACACTGAAAAGAGTGCCTCTCTGTGTGGTATCCAAAGTATCCAAGCTAACAAGACAATATCATTTTGTCCCTTTTAACAAATAAACCAAATAAAACTATAGGTCTACTAGATGTTTTACTTATAAAGAAAGATTAGGTATGACATCATGTAGTTTTGTTCAGTCTCCATTCATTGACAACATAGTAAAAATTCTTGATTTCCTGAACAAAAGCTGAATTAGGAAACCAGCAACAGCCTCCATGCTGTATTTCCTTGTGGTGGTTTTACCCTGCTGGTCTGCTGAGCTCCACCACAACTGCTCTCTCACTCCCCCTCCTCAAATGGAAGGGGGAGAAAATATGATGAAAATGGCTCAAGGGTTGGGATAAGGACAAGGAGATCACTCAACAACTCTAGTCACAGGCAAAACAGACTCAGTGTAGGGAGATTAATGAAATTTATTACCTATTACTAACAAGCTAGAGCAGTGAGAACTAACAGCAAAATAAAGAAACCTTCCCCCGTCCACTTTCTTCTAACTCCTTCCTCCAAATGGCACAGAGGAACAGGGAATGTGGGCTGTGGTCAGTTCATGATGCTTTGTCTCAACTGCTCCTTCACAGTTACTGGACTGATTTTCTTTCCCAAACTGATCATGCGGGGGCTGCCCACAGGCAGCAGCTCCTCCAGCACTGCTCCCACAGGGTTCTGTCCACGGGGTCCATCCATCCATCCCCCAGGAGCAAACTGCTCCAGCACGGGTCCCCCACGGGTGGGGGCAGCTCCCCCCAGACCCCCTGCTCCTGCGTGGGCTCCTCTCCACGGGCTGCAGCTCCGGCCCGGGGCCTGCTCCTGCGGGGGCTCTCCATGGGCCGCAGCCTCCTCCAGGCCACATCCACCTGCTCCAGCGGGGGCTCCTCCACCCATGGGGGGGCTGCAGCGTGGAGATCTGCTCCATGGGGGACCCATGGGCTGCAGGGGGACAGCCTGCTCCACCAGGGGCCTCTCCCTGCACAGCCCGCAGGGGAACTGCTGCTGCCTGCCTGCAGCACCTCCTGCCCTCCTGCGGCACTCACCTGGGGGCTGCAGGGCTGCTTCTCACTCCTCTCTCCCAGCTGTAGTTGTGCAGCGTTTTTATTTTTTCCCCTCTTTCTTAAATTATCTCTCCCAGAGGCGCTATCAGAGTCACTCCCTGACTTGGCTCTGGCCAGCGGCAGGTCCCCATCTAAAACTGGTCCTTATCTACCATGGGAACTCTGCTCACAGAGGCCACCCCTGCAGGCTCCTGCTACCAAACCCTTGCCATATAAACCCGGTATGTCCCTGCATTTTCCTGACTGCCACGGATAGAAGACTTTCCACTTGTACATTTCCCTGCTAACCACATTCTGGTATTATTCAAGCTGAGGCTTCCAATTTTTTCAGTGACAACTTCCATCTGAGTTCAGCTTCAACTGGAACTACTGCAGCTTGTAGCTTCGCTCTGCAGCCCCTGCATGGCCTTGGACCCATCTTCAGCAGAGCTGGGTTTATCTCTGCATGGGGCAGAAATGTGGTCTTAACTGTCTTGTGAGGAGGTAGGTGCATGACATGCACCCGTCAGTTTCAATGAGACTTAATGTAAGTGATACATCAAGCTTGCCCTAAAAAATTCAACTGTTGAAAATACTGAAAGCGAGAGGATTTTTGGTCTTTCTGTTTTTGTTGAAAATGTAAATCTACCCTCCTTTCCTTACCATGAATATACTTCTGGTATCATTGTCCATTTTGTTACCTGATTCTTCCCTAATAAATGTAAAAGTTACATGTATTTGATTTTTATTTTCATTGCTATTTTTTCACAGCTGCTTTAACGTTCAAGTGCCTGGGAGACCAGTGGCCTGTGTACTGCAGGGTGATACGAGAAAAGAACCTGTGTCAAGACATGAGATGGTACCAGCGTTGCTGTGAGACATGCAGGGACTTCTATGCGCAAAAGATGCAACAAAAGAGTTGACCTCTGTCAGGCTGGCTGGCTCTCAGCTCTTTGCAATGTTATTATTTATAAACACACACAGATGTACACACACACAAGCACATACGCGTACACACACATGCACGCTTCTTCAGACCAAATATTATCAGATTACATATAATTTAATCAAATTAATTTATTTTTGCCTGCCAGACATTCTTAATTGTTTTGGTTAGACAGCCAACTTGTTTTATCCTCTGAGGTTTGCATAATTAATTTTTATATGAACAATTTTGGATACATTTATTAGATTTTTTTAAAGAATAGTAACTAGTATTTTAAATGTTTATTTTCAGTAGGATCATCTCTCTGTTGCCAAAAAAAGACACCATGTTATCTTGAATTTATTTTAATTTAGCTGAATAGTTTTGTTGTATATGGAAATAAAGCCTTTTTTAATTTTATTATATTTTTGGCATTCAGAGTCAGAATGATCTTGTGTATTTTGCAACAGATGTTGAGGTGAGTAAGCTAACATTATTGAACAGGTTATTACAGAATGTATTGTGAAATCAGTTCATATGATTTAGAAACATACTGTTGGGGATAATCTACTGTAACTTATAACCTTTTATAAACAAGAAAATTAAAATAGCTAAGTAGGGATTTTGATCATTCTCATGGACACATACTTGAACACAAGTATTGAATCAATGAAACACTGTAGAGATTTACACTGAATCACTGTTGCAC